ATTGCTATTTGGGGGGGCCAGGTGTTATTTAATATTTTTTCATTGCTATTTTAAAACTTCCTTCTAACATAATCTAATTCTGGAGATCTCTTTTGTGGTTTCGGATTTAAGTATTCACCATGTGAACTAATAACCACCATTTGGTGCATCTTTTTGTTAATGCATCTTTTTGTTAATGCTTGAAATGCTCCTTAGGACAGCGAGCCATGGTGAAAATGATGGCATCCCATCACTGCTGTCAGGGTAGGTGGCCCTAAGCCTCATCATTCTGATAAAGGAGCAGAGCAGGCACCAGACAGCTCAGGAGACAGGACAAGGGTCCCCTGGGAACCAAGGACCCCCACCACCTTCCCCTGGGACATCAGAGACGAGAAAGCGCTCCCTGAGAGCTGGCGCCCTGAATCGGCCTTGCAGCCTCTTGGCCTGGGAGAGAATGGTGCCAGCTTTTGGCACTGCCCCTCTGTGGTGTTTCTACTGCAGTGGCACCACCAGGGGACAGAGACACTTTGCTTCCAGCCTTGACTGGTGTCCAGGGGGGCACCTCAGAGCAAGATGGGCACCTGCGGGAGGAGGGCGGGGTCTTACTTTTCTTGTGGCTGTAGAACTTGTCATCAGAACCATCCTTGGACTTCTTAATGACCAGTTTCCCAGACTCCACGTCCACCTTGAGCTGCAACTTCTGAGGAATTCCCAAAGACTCGGACTTTACCTGCAGGGAGGAGCCGCAGTGTTGGGCTGGTTTCTGATAGGGTTTGGGCCGGAGCCCTGTGTCTGTCCTCCATGCTGGGCAGTCCTGGGCGGCTGTGCCCCTGGAGCCTGGGCAGGGAGCCCTGGGATGCTATTTCCCAGCATCCCCTGGGTGCGGGCCACACATCCACGTACCCATGGCGTCTCTGCAAGCCATTCAGGCGGCAGGAGCCTGGCTTGTCCGTGGCGTGCCCTGTGGCTTTGGTGGAGGAAAGATGAAATGATGGGAGGATGCTCACCCACCACCCGGTGGACAACGCTCATGTCTCTGATGTGCTGGCTGCTCCCGAGTGGATGCTAACCGGAGACCTGACGGCCTCACCTGGCTCTCGGGACACCCAGCGAGTGCACGCTGACTCCGGATAATTAGATAACTACAGCAGTGGAGGCCAAGCAGAACGGCTTGGAAAATGGAAATGTGCCTGAAGAGGGAATGATCAGGGGCCAGAGGAGTCTGGGGGAGTGTGTGTGTGTGTGTGTGTGTACAGGGGCCAGGGCAGGGCTGTGAGACCCTGTAAGCACATTTCTCGCACACGGTGAGTCTCTCAGTGACCCTTGTCCTGAGAAGAACAAAGAGACAGGGCCAGGGGTTGGGTCTTTCATGGACTCAGTGGGGACCTCCGTCCCAACTCCAAGTCATGTTCACCACGAGGTGTTTATGGTTTATTAGCACTGAGCTCAGCCGCCCAGTTCCCGGCCCTCTTCACAGCCAGAAATTCTCCTTCCCCTGGGGTCAGACATCCGTCTCCCGCCCCCCACCGGGGGACACAAGCTTGGGTTCCACTGACCTCGAAGGTGACGGGAGGGATGAGGGAGCGTCGGTGGGGCGTCTCCGGGCCCTCATGCAGCAGGGC